GTTTAAAGAGTAGCACTGTTTCTATCTGAAGGCATAGTATCCAGCAATATATATTGCACCCAACAGCATGCACATGTGCTTTCTCAAGAGTCATATTTTCAATTAAAAATGTGATCCCCTACTCTCTCTAAAACAAAAAGTTGAAGCTGCCTAATCCTCAGGAAATATTTATGAGTTACGGAATCCTGAACAGAAGGTAGTGCCTCAAATTAGAAACAAATTTGATTCTAAGCAGGGCTCATTTACATAGGTCAAAATTCCTACATCATTTTTTATTTCAGCCATTCAGGCACCTCAAGTCCTAACCCTCAACCAAGGCGCAAAAGGGAACTGAGGAAAAACTCTTTTCAGAAATATATCCGTTGGCTAGTTGTTGATATTCACACACACTTAGCAGTTCAGCATGCTATTTTCCAGGGATTTTATTCAATGATCTCAAAGGATCTTACTTGTAAGCTTTGGTATGCCCCTGCTAGAAAGTACATGAAGACCCTAACCTCCCTGCAGAGAAAACTATGCTCATCCATTTGGTAGTGGTGAAAGCCAGGTGAACATGACATCATGCTCATTACGTTCATCCTTAGACTTTTTATGGACCTAGCCCTTAGACTCAGCCATTAAAGAGATAATACAAGTATAATTTGAATTTAAAAGATGTTAAGACACTTAGCTATTTACAGTTCTTTGAACTCCAAGTTTTCCTGTCTACACCCTGCATAAAATAGACTGTACCTCCCTGGACCACTAAAGAACCAGAAAGACAAACACAACAGCATTTCTGCAGCATTCTGACTCCAGACCAACAGCCACACCACACAAGCTGTACTGATAAAGCAAACCACACAAAATAACCAATCTGTAAAACCTTCTAGCCATCTCTAGAGGGCCTTAAATTCCCGCATGAAGTAAAATCTGAACCTCTCCATTTATAAAATCAGAATGATAGCACTTTGCTGCCGCATGGGGAAGATATGAAGATAAACACCTGAATACCCCAATCTTCAGTGTGATGGGAGACAGATGAGTTCCTTAGCTAAAACAAGAACGCTAGCAGTTCCTCTGCCTGGTGGTACTTTGATAAATACAATGAATGCTGTTGTATCTAAGAACTTCAGGGGATATGAATAAGTATTAAAAATCAAGTCTGCATCCTTGGGGAAATAATACAACAGATGCCTAAAACACTTCTTCACCATTTGAAGAGCTGAGAAGTTGCATATGGGCAGTTCTGGCAAAAACAGTCTTTTCCTTTACCTGACTTTCTCTCAACTAATGTGTACTCAGAGCACATCTTCCTGTGCAGCTGGAGGCTTTGTTACAGACAGAAGGACACTGCTTAGTATGGCCAGCTTAGTATAGCCTGCTTATTGCCTAACTTTTTTATTTTTTTTTTAGAAGATGAATTTGGAAAATTTCCCAGATAATACATATGCCCCTATTACTCGCACCTCGGAGTGTAAGACCAGCCAGGGAGGTAGTGAGGACAACTGCATTTATTAGCAATGAATAAACTGATCTGTCTTTTCCTGGATTAGCAGTGAGAGATCCCAGACACTCTAAGAAGTATCTGTCTGCTGACTGACATATACAAGCTGGCACACTTTTGTGTCAAAACTGTACACAGCTGCATGCACACTAAAGTCATCTCATCTATGAAGCACAATTGCCAACTGCTTGTCTTCAGAGATGGGTAATGAGAGAAGGCCTCAACAACAAGTTGCAGAACACAGTTAAATAATATTTTTCATTCCACTAAGTGTCTGTCTTTCTAAAACTGCTTGTCTTCAGAGATGGGTAATGAGAGAGGGCCTCAACAACAAGTTGCAGAACACAATTAAATAACATTTTTCATTCCACTAAGTGTCTGTCTTTCCTGGATTTGCATAAATTTTCCCTCCACCATGTTTTGGAAGAAAGACTGATGATGTACATAGAAAAACCCAGATTTTTACTTCTCAAAAACTTAACTGAACTCTTCAGTGCCTGAATTACACATTTTTAGGTACCAAAGAGGCTGATTTAACCTGATTGTCAGTCATTTCCAGCAGATGTCTGGACAAATTGCCTAGCATATTTTTATTCTAGGTCATCTCCAGGTAGTCAGACTAATAGCTCGTCTAAAAGAAAGAACACAATCCAAAGCAATAATAAATCATATTTGTCCACACACCATTATCAGCCATCAGGTGCCAGTATGAAGGTAGCTTTATTTTAACATCTTCCCCCAACCTGTCTGTCCAAACTCTCTCAAATCACCTCAGTCATCTCAATAAACCTTACTCAAGGCCACAGTCTCAGCTTGTGGGGCGTAACTGAACTCCAGACTGAAACAGCATTTGTGTAGATTAGTGTTGGGCTTGCCTCATTCCACATGGACAGGTGTGTTAACAAGCATAGCATCATAGAGAAGTTTGGGTTGGAAGGGACATTTTAAGATCACCTAGGGAAACCCCCATGCAATAAGAAAGGACATCTTCAACAAGCTCACATTACTCAGAGCCCCATCCAACCTGACCCAGAATGTTTCCAGGGACGGGGAACCTACCACCTCTCTGGGCAACCTGGGCCAGGGTTTCACCACACTCATTGTCAAAAATTGCTTCCTTAGATCTAGTCAAAATCCACCCTCTTTTAGTTTAAAACCATTACGCTTCGTCCTGTCACAACAGGCCCTGCTAAAAAGTCTGTCCTCATCTTTCTTATAAGCCCCCTTTGAAGTACTCAAAGGCTGCAATAAGGTCTCCCCAGAGCCTTCTCTTCTCCAGGCTGAACAACCCCAACTCTCTCAGCCTGTCCTCACAGGAGAGGTGCTCCAGTCCTCTGATCATTTTTGTGGCCCTCCTCTGGACCCGCTCCAACAGGGCCATGTCCTTCCTGTGCTGAGGGCTCCAGAGCTGGACACAGGACTCCAGGTGGGGTCTCACCAGAGCAGTAGTGGGGCAGAATCCCCTCCCTCGACCTGCTGGTCACGCTGCTTTGGATGCAGCCCAGGATACGGTTGGCATTCTGGGCTGCGAGCGCCCATTGCTGGCTCATGCCCAGCTTTTCATCCACCAGTACCCCCAAGTCCTTCTTGGCAGGGCTGCTCTCAACCCCTTCATCCCCCAGTTTGTATGGATACCAGGGGTTGCCCCAACCCAGGTGCAGGACCCTGCACTTGGCTTTGTTGATCCTCATGAGGGCCACATGGGCCCACTTCTCAAGTTTGTCCAGGTCCCTCTGCATGGCATCCCATCCCTCAGGCATGTCAACTGCACCACTCAGCTACCAATCCCAGTAGTACAACACCCTTTTTCCCAACACTCTGAGACTTCTGATAAGAAATAGGAAATCCAGTGATATCTTTAATTCTTTATCTGGCTGATTATACTATTTAATTGTACTACAGCAATGGGGCTGACTGGAGCTCCAGTGAAAAAAACTGCAGCTCACAATTCCTCTGGTGTTTAGATCATCACAACTGACAACAGAAGAAATATATTAAAGTTTTGGGGTTTTTTTGTTTGTTTGTTTGGTTTTTTTACTAAATATATAGTAAAGGGTGCAAACTTAAATGTCAGGAAAACCACCGAGCAATTTGGATGAGGAAAGAAGCCCAACAGCTGTTCCTACAGATTCCTGCACAGAGACAGGTTTTGCAAGTCAACATGGTGTCAATATTTAACTAACACATTATCACTTGTTATTATTATTTGACTATCAGTCAAGTAAGCACCTAGCAAGAAAAAAAAAATTGGAAGTGATCTTCAATTTTCATTTTTTTAAAATCAGATTCACTGAGTGATCATAGAGAGACGAGAAGGTGATTTTTGTTTTAAACAAAAAACGAATTTGCACACACACATACTTGCAAGTACCAAGATACCTGTGTTCACATATTCTTGACAGGATTACCTGTGGTGACCCAGAAGGCAAGGGATGTCAGCTACTCAGTCCTCTTCAAACTTCTGGCATTCTTCTGGGTGTCAAAAAGACTGCATGTTTTTTGCAGCCCTTATCTGTCTTAAGAAACAAGGCTCAGTTCCAGGTTAAGTCGTACTTCACTGTGGTGTGGCCTTCACACTACCAGCATGCCATCCAATGCTTGCTCTCACAGTTACCTAGATTCCTTGTGGATGTCCCCTTGCTGTTATCAGTCTCATGACTTCAGAGAGATGTATATATACACACACACCCCCTTCATACACCTTTTCTAATTTCTTTTTTTTAAACCTTCAGCTCTGCTATTTCTTCTTGTACTTTTAAAAACTCATACTTCATGCACACCCATGTAGTATTTCACTTACAGACCTCTGTAATATCTCAAATGCACAACCAGGTTCATCTAGGTATTTTTCCACAAAAATACACTGTCTGTATCTTTGCTTTACCCAAGAAGTGAAGACATCAGCAAATTATGAGAATCACAGAACACAGGATAATTGGTCTGCTTCAATCTGAAAAACACCCACTTCCCCAAAAAATAGCTAATCAAAAAAGAGATGAGAATACCCAGTGGCCCAGAAACAGCAGACCTCTATCAGATTGGCAGCCTTTTTTCTTTCCTTGACAAAATAAACAGGACCACAACACAAATGTTCTGAGCATGGAAGAAAGCGCTTTTTGAGTGCTCATGCAACCTCAGGAATCCTCAAAAAGATACCAAAGAAAACATGCCTTAGTATTCACAGCAAATTCATTGAAAAGTATTTATCACAGAAGAATAAATATCCATCTTATATTTACCACTAGGAAATGAGTCAAAGATGCAGCAACGTTCACCACCATGTACATCTCTATGTCCAAAGGCAAGGGAATACAAATCCCACATGTCCCATAACGTTTTCCACAGGCTTTTGATGCAAGAATCAAAATAGCCCATACATCACTAATAATCATGTTATGCTCATAAATTAAACACTAACACTACGGATTTTACCACAAAAAATTATATAGAAGATGATAATAAATGGTAAAACAAATGCAGAGTACAATTGGTACATTTTGTAAGTCATTTAAACTCACTTACCTGTAAAGTAAGTATTGGCAGGGAGAGTGGAACTAGCGAATCTGTAATATCCATTTCCTGGGAAACGGATCCCTTTCATTACTTCTGTAGTGAATGTAGCTAAAGATGAATCCATCCTTTCCACCTGGTAGATGGGAGAAGGCCCATTAAGTTCTTCAGGTTCATTCCAATTTATCTTTACCGTTGTGCTGTTTATTCCTTCAACACGAGGGGCACTAAGTTTTCTTGGAGCTGTGCATAAAAAAAAAAATTATCTAGGTATCACTGGCCACAATACTTATTTATTGCATGCAGCGTAATTTTTGCAAAGCATCCTGCTTCAGTTTCTGATCATCTTAAGAATAATCACAGATAGCCATAGAAGCTTAATTAGAAAAACAAAACAAACCCAAAACATTCTTAATATTTATAGGAACTTAACTTTCAATTCCACAAGAAATACCTTATTTTTTTATTCAGGCTCTGGATAAACATCTCTAGTATTATATCCAAAATATTTTTTTCACATTCTTTAAGAATCTGAATCAATGTCTTCATAAAAAGTATATTTGTATTCCTTCCTTAGCTAGCCTCTCATGCCATACTCCCTGTAAGCATGTATCTGTATGGTTTTCGGCATTGGATTTCAGGGGAAGATCTAAGGGGAATCTGAACAGTTAATTAACTCTTGTTACATCTCAGCAGTACGGTACATGACAACACAAGTCTTTCATCACTGAACTTATCCTCACCAACAGAAGCAGAACAGCTATCCATCCACAATACTGAATGCCCATCAGGTAATTTTCCTCATGGTGCACAACGCAAGACATTAGCATATATCCAGATAATTACTCAGTTCAAGAAAATGATCCTCTCTAATATTTCTCCACCAACACTGGCACGCAGTAAGACTCCACACACATTTCCAGGAAGGTATCAGCATAAGATAGTTTTATGTTATTACATTGAACCTCCTACCATTAAAACGAATATGATATTCTTTTAAGTGTTCCGATAGCATTGGTCACTCTATAGCTGAGTTAGGAACAAAAAAAATTAATTTTTTTTTTAATACTGTACAGTAAGCCACTGGAGGGCAGCATGACGTGTTTGGATAATGGCATGATGGACAGACAGGTGGGAAAGAAATGGACCATCACTGAAACAATGAAAGGCATCATCTGGAGAAGTACAAGAACAGTCTACTACCTATAGAATCTACACTCATCTTATCTTCCCCTTCTTTCCCTGATAAAGAAAAGGATTTAACAACAGAAACTGCATTTGTACCCAGGAAGTGAAACACAATGAAAACTTGTAAAGATTACTTGTTCCCATAAAGACATAGTAAAGAGCAATAAACGCCTTTCAAGTAGAATAAAACCTGAATTAAAACATGGGCCTTTGAAATCTGACACATTACTTCACAGCACAGCATTATACACAGTGTTGAGTTCTTTAGAGAAGAAGAGATTGCTTCATTTAGGATGAATTAATAACATTCTTTTAAACATTCGTGCATTTCCAAGTTCATTAACATATTTTTCATTTTTCCTATTTGCCTGTAGCATGTTGCTACTTTTTTTTCTTTCTTTCTTTGTCTTGCTCCCCTCTAACTTGATAAATATTCTTGGAGAAAGGAGAGAGTGGAGGAACTGGGAAACTGCCAATGACACTATGCACTGTAAATTCCTGCTTAGGCATCATTTATGACTTCACAATCTAATTACTATCTCACGCTATGGTAGAAATTTACAATGTCAAAATTGAAGTAATGCAGCGTGAGGTCATAAGCTTTCCTGCATAAGTAGGGCACAGCACTAATGAATTGTGGTATTAATGCACAAGTTTAAATAGAAAACATGGCTTAACAATCAAAACTTCACCTTTGAGGCAACCAGTGTACGTCAGCATTTTAAACGTGAACATGAGGTGGAGCCCTCCAGTTCAGCTTACTAAAGGTAAAGCAGAAATGCTAAAACTCATTGTTTCTAAAACACATACAGGTAACTAACGCTCATGACAATAACTATATCTTCTTTTAAAGTCTAGTATTAATAAACGGCAGTTACTTGAAGACCATAATTATGGCATCTCTGATACCCAAACCTGAAGCTTTTATAGGGCTTACGCAATTAACTACTTAAATGCATCGTAACACTTGCTTCTCTGACAGGGAAGTATTGATTTTTTAATCATTTTCAAGTCTCCTCTAGCACAAATAAATGTACTACAGTTACAGTTAATGCACTGTGTACACGCATTAAACACCGGCATGACACAATTTATTATTTTGTGATATATGGAACAGAAGCCTACCCTTTCAGAAAGTAACATCCTAGTTATAACATTAGTATTTAAAGTACGGTCTCATTGATGCTTGAGGATTCTTGTGTGTCAAGACAGTGGAAGACTGTACATAATAGGTTACATAAGTTTAAAAACAAAACAAAACAAAACAGAAAACCAAACTCCACACAGGAACAGACAGGACTGAAGATAAATCTGTAGCACTAGCCCAGCAGGGTACTAAATGCTGAAATTAAAAATATTCAAGACTAAAAGATACAGTATATATTTTCCTAAAGGTGTCACTGTGGTACCTGTAGCTACTTTCTAAAAGATGAATTTACTATAATTTTACCTATTTAATTTTTTTTAGTCACGTTCTGTTAAGACACATCTGTCAAAATAATGAGCGTACTACATTTTAGGGGATTCAAAGTCACAGTTTGTGTATTTTAATTATATAGTTTTAATGTCTTGCTGTATAATACATATTTAATATATTATAAAGCTAAAACAGTATTTAAAAGCCCATGATTGCTGCATGCCATTGTGTAGCAGAGGGCACAAAAAAGACCAATAAAGACAGATGGTCCATACAGCTTACGTTGAAGTCATATATCTAAATATAGATGTTGCTACACAGGTCATTACAAATAAGCCTTTCCCATGTGTGTATGCACACACATGTACACAGAAATGAAGTTGGTAAGTAAAGAGCAGTTAATTTTGTTTTGTTTGAAATAATATCATTTTAGTTTTAGACTCGAAGACAGATGCCAGCATTTCGCTCTGAACAGATGGTAATTCCATCTAATAGTGCATCTCTGTATTAGTAAGGTCTGTTGTGTATACAAACAGTAATAAACACTAGGTAAGGATCAAAATAAATTTTAATTGTTGACATTAAATTCTGGCAGCCACAGTTCTAAGGATACAATACTCCTTTCTCAAGTCTGTCAGGTTTACTAATACAACTGCTAAAGCTTTTCCATACTCTGCCAGATTCTTGTCCCAGGAATAACATGTTTACACTGTGGCTAAATTTAACAGGCTTACATATGTTTGAATAACTACCGCTCCGCATACTGTAGGTAGGTGTTTGTGTACTCTTCCACAGAAGCCTTCAATTAGCCACTCTGATTAGTTCAGGAAGGTAACAGTAACAAAAAGTATACAGTTTTTAATTAGTGTTTAGTTGAATTCAGAATGCATACATACGACTTAAAATAAAAGTGTCTGGCAAATTTGAGGAGAAAAACTTAAAGAAAACCTTTTTTTTTTTCCGTCTTGGAGTTTATCTTGCAGGTAAAATTACATCCCTCGCTATCGGTCAGCCATTTCAGTTTTGCTACAAGTTATTAGTCCAGAGGACCCTGAGATTGCCAGAGCATTTCTGGTATGATTTTTCTTTCTCTGTGATTCACAAGAGTATCACTCATTTCAACAGTAAATGAGTCAAGAAATAATACTTGTATATTCTGACAGTATTTTGATTTTTTTAGAAGATTCTTTAGAGTCCACTTAGGATTCTTCCCCCTAAAAAATAAAACCCACCTATAATGGACATCAAAAGAAAATTTAATAACACGGGTATTTTACAATCATATCTCTTTAAAAATAGATGTAATACACAGTATTTTTTTAAAATCATGAAAAATATATTGCTTCCACCATATGGGACAACCAACGACTCACCAACCGATTTAAGATGCAGCATATTGAGCTGACCATATGTTACAGTGCTGTTGAATGGCTGAGTGATTCATGCCCGTCACATTCTAGTATATCAATTAAAGCTCCTTGAAGTCTGCATGATTTGTGTCTCTGTTATTAAACCCTGCTAATTCATCCCACTTACACATCTGTTATAAATCTCTAGGAGTGCTGCATGATTCATGGCAATCTGTGAGCATGGTACAGCAAATTCTTCTCCTTGTAATTAACAGTAAATTGTTTTACTGCCATGCAATGAATTTTTCAGTTATATTGCAAATGAACTCCTAAATGCACGGTTCTTTCCTAAGAACTGACTTATATCATTAGACAATTAAAAAGTATTGCTTTGAACCAAAAGCTTTTAATCAAGAGGAATGCAACTTAAACATAGCTTAAAAACCTTGCAAATTTGACACGGAGGGAAAAGAACAAACTGCTCTATTTCCTATTTTAATACGTGGTTCGTAGGGGAGAAGAAACAAGTAACTTTTAAGTCCCTAGCCCCTGAAACTCAAAGAGCAGTTTAACTACAGCTTGAACACTTGGCAAGACAAGTTTGAGCAGATACTATTCATCTCAGAAGTTACTTAAGTCATCTGTCATTATGAAATGTCTCAGATTACTTTACACTCTTCTAATTGTAAAACAGTGTCTTTATTCTTGAAATAAATAATTGGATAATTAGCCAAGCTGAATCATCAGAGGATTCCAATGCTGCTCAAGTGTTCTTGTCAAAGGTGAAGCAAATTCATTTCAGCTTTGCCTCTGCAGCTTTCTGAAGAGGCTTTGATTTTTTTTCCTGCTACATTCTTGGCAGCAGCCTCAAATTCATGAGTCCATACATCAAGTCAGTAGTTTAACAACAAATGAAATTAAATTCAAAGAAGGGAAACTAATTGAAGGACAGCAACAAAAGTGTTTGGTAATGTGCTTTTTAATATGGCATGCCACATTTGCATGATAATTTTTCCTTTTTAGCATGGAGCAGAAAGTGACTAGCTTAATGAGGGATTATTCAAGACAGGAATGAACAAAATGCATTCATAACTAAGAACAAAGATTGTATTATGAAACGGAAACAGGCAACTGCCGAGAAGTAACTGGATGATTGGTTTATGCATTATGAATAAAAAGGTAGAAAAATATTTATATTAGTATTCACTAATGACTATATATACAAGATTGTTGTAATTAAAATTATAAATTAACATATTAAGAGTGCTTGTTTAATCACTTTGGGTCCT